GTTGGAAAATATTCTGAGAGCTGTACCCGTTTTGATGGATCAGCAAGAAGATGCAGTCAATTTGCAAAAGGCTACTCTTTTTACCATCTCCTCTTCAACGGTAAATTAAAAAAGAACTCATTGAAATGTTGAAGAATAGGGGTATTATGTCAATCAAAACATATAGTCCTCATACTAAAAGAATGGTTACATAACATCTCAAACTTTTGTTAAATCTCTAAAAGATTTTTATCAATAAATTGCATGAAGAAAATATGTAAGTAGCAAATGTTGTTCAACTATGAATAATTTCATCGGTAGTCAAAAAATTGGTACAACTGCAGTTGGTGATGTTCAGTCTGTTAAGAAATTGATATGAAGATATCTTGAACTTAGCACAACAGCAAGTTCGATTTAACAATTTATGGAATAACTAAGCTATGTGAAACAAATTTTTATAAAGTAATTAATCCTCATCTACTCTTCATTAAGACATCTGATCACAGTGACGCTTTGCAGAACAGCCACATGGATTAATATCTTATCCCATTTTCGGAGTTTATTTTCAGCAATAGAAACAATGATTAACAATTTTAATTTGTTGAATTTTTAAAACAGTTAAGATCACATTTTTGTAGAAGTACTGCTGTTTTAATTTTTTTCAAGTGACAATTTGAAGTAGGCTGACAAATTAAGCGATTGGTTAGAGTGATCACTACTCCACGAAATGATTACAAATAGACATCATTGTTATTGATCTTCAACAAGTACACACTGGATTGGTGAGAAGTAACAATTCTTAAAATGGTTTGCGGAATGCAGCATTACGTGATCTGCTGGTTGTTGTTCAAGATAATGAGTTTGCTTGCGTGACGTGGTATGCCACGGAAATAACTGAGACATTGCCAAACTTCTCCTGGAAATTTTAGGATGTAGAAACTTTGAAGCAGATCCGCTTTGTATTTACAAAAGAAATTTTCGACTTTTCGAATATTTTATCCATTGTCACATCGTTAAGTTTTCCGGAATCAGTTTGATAAGTTATGCAATAAAGGGCATATGCTTATAAAGTTACCATGGGCTGTTTCGTGATTCGTCGTTCCATAGTGAAATTCTGGCAGAGCTTGCCCTGCAAATTCATTTTTTTTCTATACTATCATAATCAGCATAACTGGGAACCAATTTTAAATCTGCAACTGTTGTTAAAAAAAACTCTTCGCATGTTGAAGGCTGTTTCATATTATTTAAAACTAGTTTTCTAAATTTGTAAAACCTTGAATTCCCACTTCATTTTCATATTTCATCAGGGACAAACAATTTTAAATACTTACGAGTTATTTGAAAGTAAATCTGACAAAGCTACACGACACTTGAATTAAAAACATGTATAGAAATACCATTATCACTGCCTATTCAAGAAAATAATCAAATACTAATTTGCCTTGGAGCCGATCATGTGTTTCAAACGTTACTTTGAAGCTTTACTGGAAACCACTCGACTCCTTTTGACACAACTCGATAATATTATCATAATTTGCACAAATGCGGCATATCTTTATAATTATGGAACACAGTACAGTCGATGAATCGGCTACTTTCGTTAGAGAAATATAGCAACCGCATATTTCAGTGACTGTAACTTTTTGTGAATCAAAGTTCTTTTTCTGTAGTAAACTCAGACTCTAGATTGAAAATATCTCTCGGGTATAAGTGCAAAAAACCATTAAATGGCCAAATAAAGTTAACAAATACAATTCCTAGTGAAACGAGAGATAAACAAAGTTAAATAATCCAACTATCCCAATATTTATTATTCAGACAGTTGAATTATTGGTCAAAATAATGCCTATTGTCGTTATTTATTTAGCATAATAGATATTCCAATAGTTAAATCATTTGACTTTATCCGTTAAATCCTTCGTTTTTTATTTGGTCATTTAATGCTTTCCAAAACTATTTCGTGCGACATTTTTTCACCATTTGCCTATCTTTCTGAAAAATTGCAACTTCCAACTTCCAGCACCTTTTTGATTGCTCGCAGTACCTCGGAATCAAGAGATTCTCCCAATTTCTGTGATCTTATTTAGTTTTCTAGAACCCTAAATAGGTTTGATTCCAATGTTTCCAGACTATAATCGAAACAAATTTAATTACGTTTGCCAGTAGCAAACGCAGATGTATTAATATCCGTTGTTTTACATACCACAGATTTATCAGTGAAACTGAAACTGAAAAAATCACAATGTAGTTCCGCATTTGTAATACAAAATGAACACTGATGAGGAATTAAGACAGTGACTACAAATCAAAAATTACATAACTGAAATTTCCGTTCCCAAATTAGCAAACAAAGACTGCACAAAATTCTGCTTCAAAAACTGAAAAGAAAATTACAAAAGTATTCAAATAAATTGAACACAAATACTGCAATGGATAATGCTCACAATTCCCACATACAGATATCATCATGGCCGTAATGAGTTGTACCGTCAAAAGTTGCACACAAATCTTAAGAAGGAAATGTGAAATAAAAAGGGACTGAATTCGAAGGGAAAGATAATGACAAATGTAAGTTCGATAAATCATTTCTGATATTCAAAGGAAAAGAAGAATAAAAGATATGGAAGTGCGTAAACCTGTCCACTGATAAGTAAATGAGCAGCTCAACGCAGCGATTGATTCTATTATTCTATTCAGACAAAAGTAGCCGTATTAGATGAATTGAAGCCAGAGTATCTTTAACTGAATAATATCCCGCCCCTGCTTCAATTTCTGAACAAATACACGAATTCCCTGCCCCATTTTAAAATTATTTAATAACCTAAAAAACGTGTCTAACAAAGAACACTAACTTTACACAAAGTTCTTATAATCCTATTTGACAGCTTTCATAAGTAGAAGCTCACCTGAAAACTACTGCAGAAAGAGTGATAAGAACGGAATAAGTTTGACCGCAAAGCATCAGTCACACTTGAAATGGCCGAAAAATGGAGGTAAGCTGTCGTCAATGATGACGTTACAGCTGTTTATATGGGAACATCAATTTTCGATTCAGCGAATTTGAGCTTACATGGAATGAAAAAATGTTATCCAATTCGCTGAATTGAAAATTCTCTTTAACAAAAAATCAACAACAGTGTAAAGCAATTACCGGAAAAGGTATATGTGCTTATATAAATATTTGAAATGGCAACCGTTAATAAATGATGAGGATTAGCTATTACCAGTTAAGCGACAGAGTGTGCCTTTTCTCCGATAAATACTGACGAAACAGAGTGCCAAAATTACACATAACAATTTTTGACCGACTTTTGAAACAATACGTCATACTGTGTTCAAGAATAGAAGTAATCAAAACGAGGCTTTATCGAATCAATAATGCTGATCTTAATATATTAAGTGTTTTAAAATCAAGAAAAAACACACAGCAAATATTTCATTAAATTTCGAAAATTAAAAATTCTTGCAAGTACATAAACGACAAAGAAATTTTATAAAAGGCAGATAGAAATCATCATAACAGTAAATTTACCGACTTCACTAAGTTAAAAACCTAAACATTGAGTTATCTTGTATAAAAGATATCATTTCTCATGATTGAGACTAGACATCCCATGCAAAAGAAAAGTGCCAAATGAATCAGACTATGAAAATTGATGTATACAAGTCATTCAGCTGAAATTAAATGAAATTGCCTTTAAAGATGACAACGGATATTTTGCCACTGATCATTTGAAGCATTCACTAAATATATTTTTCCCTCAACTGATCCATTATTTCCATTGTTACGCTGACAACTTCACTCGTCTTAGCCGTACCTATGAAATAACTTCATCAGAAAGCAAGCCAACATCACCGACTAGGTTAAAGTTTAGTTTCCTTTCTAGGTTTAAAACTTCTGACATTTCACTTGATCATTATTTCAGCAGAAAATGAGAACGTAAAAAAGATAATTACAAAAGGTGAAAAAAAGCTGTGCGACAGTGAAATCACTATCATTTTTACTCTAGTCATTACAACGCCAAATTCCTTAGGATAATTCATTTACCTTATAAATATATAGTAAATAAAATGTATATCACAGAATACTGAAATGTGAAGTAGAGGTCAAACCTAATTATATCACCTTTTTGGAGACAGTAGTCAACAGTTAAAACTGATTATGAACTATTTGTAGGGATACCTTCTACCCAAAAAACCACTCAATCTGTATGCCACACCTCCTTTCAGAACTCAATAAATGTCATCTAGCAATTTTATTTGCTCTTTACTCCATGAAAGCTCCTTCCTATATTCTTCAAACTAACAAATTTTTGAGAGAAGTAGAAAGTGTACTAACTTCTTAGCCACTCAGCCAAAAAAATTATGAATTATAGATATGAAAGTTACCTGGTTGCGAAATGATAAATTTTGATTCAGAGTCCCAAGTTGGGACGGTAGGCTTACCTCCAATATCAGTGGTGTGTATGCGTCGCTCTGTAAGTGCAATAAACAAGGAATCACTGATCAGATTTGCATAATTATCCAGTCCCAAGTATTTTAACATATCTACACTAGCTCGAATAAAGGAAGTTGGGTTTGCAATATTTTTGCCAGCTATTTCAGTGCCACTGCCTCTTGTCCCCTAAAAATTACATATTAATTATGAGATTAAGGTTCTGAAAAAATTGTTCAAAGAATGAAGCACACTTTCCGATAATACAATTGAAATTATTCCAACTACATGCTTCCAATTACTGGATTAAATAAGAATTGAAAAAATTTTCAACTGTAAAAATACAAACCGTTTCAAAAACAGCATATTTGGAGCCCACGTTGACGCCAGATACTAATCCTGCTCCACCAATGAGGCCACAAGCTATGTTCGCAATTATATTGCCGTAAAGATTGGGCAAAAGTATAATGTCAAATTGCTGTGGGCGAGAAACGAGTTGCATCGATGCATTATCAATAATCATTGACTCGAATTGCAAATGTGGATATTCATTTTCTGCTATTTCCTTACATACCTGAAAATTTTGGAAATCATAACAAAAAAAAAAAGATATAGAATCTGATTATACTGTTTCCGCAATACATCTTAACACTTATTAAGAAATTAACTGAGCGTAAAAAACTTAGAACTGTCAGATGAACTGGCAGAAAAACGGTTTAAAACCTCAGATCCTCAAGTAGATCGTATTTATGCATGTGAATCATGCCAAAGAAGAAATCATACGAAAGGATAAAAAGCATTATATAATATTAAAAACAATAAGAATATGTAAATGTTCACTCTCAGAAATAAGCCATCCGCGAGTTTTTGTATATTAGCTTTGTGAACTGCTGTAACTTTCTTCCTTTTGTAAATTACTGCATATTCGAATGCAAAACGAGCAATCCGTTCAATATTTGTGCGTGTAACAATCTATAAATTAATTCTAATAAAGAAAGCAATGAAATACAAAATAGCAGAAAACTTTCCATCCATGCTTCTAAACAAAACTTAAACGACAAATTTTCTAAAAATTACGACTTTTACCAATTCCAGCCCATTTCAAAATTATTGTCAGAAATTTGTGACTAATATGTGAATAAAAAAAAACAACCTTCAAACTTTCAACGACTCCTTTTTTGGCCTCGTGTTCAAGTCCAGAATATTCACCTTCCATATTTTCTCTAAAAACAGCACTTTCGTTTTTAAAACAGGGTTAAAAGCTCGAACAGGGGAAACAGGGAAAATGCAACATTAGTATCTTATTAAATAAACAACAATGACTTTTAGCATTACCTGCCAGAAAATAACTTTCCCCCACTAATGTGTTTGATCAACACAAATAGCTCTTGAAAACGGGCAGTATGTCCTTATTTTTCGAACCGTATGTCATTACCTCTCAAGTTGAATTCTTAAAATACTATAGAACAAATAAATTAACCTTATCACTAATATATCCAGATCACTGTGTCGCGATGGAATTGAAGGTATGCTTACACAGTGCAAAATATTGGCATAAAGTTCCAAACGTCGCCGCAATTCAACATTCCTTGATGTAAACTGTGGAACATCAAATTTAGTTTCAATGTTGCCCTTCAAAATTCTATGCTTTTAAATCAGCGAAACATCTAACATTACTATAATAATCTCTGCAGTACCGACACTATTCAAAATAAACAATCATGCTAAAATTTCTCCGCATAACCTTGTTGTAATGAATAATGCTAAAACGAGCAAAAAAAAACGTTAGTTCCAACAAGAAAAAATTTGTTAATATAACCAAACTACTGTTGTAATTGGCAGCGCCTATTTCAATTGTTCCCTTATCTTTTTCATTAATAGGTGTCCAAAATTGGATAATGTAAGGTCAAGTTTCTTACGTTTTATACGGCAAATTTTATTAGCGTCATGTCCTACTTTCAAAATAAACCCACCTTGATATTTGCACATTTGAATGCAATGCTAAATAATTTCGATCTCTCTGTTCTAATCAGGCTAATTTGCAGAAAATGTTGCTATACAGTTATTAAATGAGCTCAAGCATAAAATGATTAGTCAGAAAAATAGTGAGGAGAAACAACACCAATTTTTCGAGCCTCTGTGGCAGAACTTTTCGCCCTTTTTCTTGCAAAACAACCCATTTATATATTGGAAGTATTAAATAATACAGAAAACAGCTGAAAAAGAATAAATGAACAAAACTAAAAATAAACTTTTAGAGCTACTCCATTTCGTCGAGTCGATAACAAAGCATATTCCATATCAGTATCCATATGAGTCATATCGGAGCTTAACGGCATTTCCTCAAAGTCCACCGGAACCTATCAACAGCTACTGTTATAAAATATAAGACTGCCTCTCTTTACAACATTTTTTTTTGAAATTCTAAAAAACGTTAAAATATGTTGAAATAAGGTGTTTATGTGTTCGTGGAAAACAATTAAATTTTCATGATGTTCAAATTTAGATTTGTAGCTTGAATAAAAAACCACAATATATTTCAGAAAAATAATGACACAAACTAGACAGTTTCAGTTTCTGTGCTCACATCTGCATGGCCAAAAATATGCTTGACACTGTTGATCATTTCTGCACCGGTACCATCGCCTGTAAGTAACGTCACCATCTGACGTCCACCATATTTGGCTAATTTAGTCTAAAATAATTAACTGCTGGCGAATATTAAAGGAGAACTTCTATCACTATCAATACTAATATGCTGATGTTAGTGAAAGAGTCAGTGGTAATAGCATAAAGTGAAAGTCAAATGTTTGGAATTCTAAAGAGTCGAATTAAAAGTAAATCATCTTGAACAACCTAACAGTTGGTTTAACAAACGTATAATAAGGATTGAATAGCATATCTAGTTCAGAACATTAAAAAATTTTAGGCATAGTAAGTAAGCACTCAATAGATGAGTTACCACCAATCGAGCCGAATTTTGCAATTATGTCATACTTAACAGAGTTCACTGCAATTGTGAAGACTAAAAGAATACGCCGAATTCTTATTTTTATATAATGCAATTGTAACACTGATGTTTGCAACAGATTTTTCCTAATTTAACCGCATAAAGGCAATAATACTTCATGCATTTTAGTAACAAATGCGAAAATTCGAACAATTCTGGAATTGAAACCCATACGGAAATATGAACCAAAAATATAATTCTTTGAATTATTACTCCATGCAATGTCTTAAACCATCGAAATTCAATTACCAAATTTCCAAACTATTCAGTGCTTATTTTTTTACCACAATATAGTTCCGACAATAATCCAGCTCTGCTAAACCGAAATAACCTAATATGCTTACGAGTTTGACTATCAGCATTAAAAGTTAAAAACCTCTTTTTGTTGAAGGACATGCGATCGAAAACGGTACATTTCATTATTCGAAGTATATTGTGAACTGGCAGTTAGTCCTCGATGAGCACATTTTAAACTTATAGCATTAGTTCGAGATAACCACACTAGCGATTGAACTGTTGATAACATCAAATATAGGGTACGAATATGTCAACTCTTTACTTCTTCAAAAAGTCCCTGCAAAATTACGAGCACTCATAAAATATTCTGAGGATTAATGCAATTCAAAAAAATTTTAAATTCACTCTATTCATAACACTCATTGCAAAAAAATACTTGCATAAAATATAACAAAACTCGCTGTTTCCAAATTCAATGTATGGAGGACGAAACACATGAATTATATTATTAAATTACAACAGTGCATTCTGCTTTTTGGAATACTTGCCCCAATCCTCGCCCATTAATTATACTACCGAAGAATGCAATGAAAACACAACAAGAAAGCTAATAATCATTCTACCTGCCTGCCATGTTACGATTGCTCCAGTGTGAAAACAGCTATCTCTTTAATCGAATCACATCTTTCCGCTCTTAATTTTGTGGCTTTTATCATTATTTTCCCCTCATTCAGTGGTCAGTGGTCATCAGTTAATGATTATTAACTTTCTTGTTATCAAAGATCATACGGCACATCAGAGAAATGTTGAAGAAGAGAAATGTTGGTCGTGAATTACTTTTAAATCACAAAAGCTATCTCAGGTATCTGCTTAAGTTAGATATTTGGATCACAGTATTTGAAAAGCAAAACTTGAGCATGCTGATGCGGAAAAGGACATATATCTAAATGATTCCAAGCAAGTCAAAAAGACAACCGATCTGATTATTAGTAGAATGGTCTCCAGCAATTTAGGCGGCTAATTACTGGATCAGAGCTTTTGTAAAATCGTATAATTGTAGGCAAGTTAGACCATTGTATTATATTGGACTTGAGCCCCATTAGGGCCATATCTTAGTGAATTCAACGATACCGGTAATTAGCTAAAATAAAAATTTAAGGCTTGCTTTTGCCTAATCTGAGACTAAATCTGCCAAGTCGTTTATATTTGTGATTAACATGAACCGTTTTCAGTCATTTATGTAAGTTACTCTCAGATATCATTCATTCATTATGTGTGGACATTATTTATATATACTTTCGAACTATTATTGCTATCGTTAATGATGCCGTTTTATAGTCATTGTCTATTCCTCACGATTATGTTAATCCCAAGCAAAGTACGCATCAGGATCACGTTCAGTACGCAACTTCCATATAAGAACGAAACGTTGCAATTAACTGTAATTAATGAAAAGGATGTTATATCATATATCATCTTGTATCTTGTGACAGTATATCTTGGTGTAGAAAAATGATATATCTGAAATCAGTCGTAATGTTTCTTAAATTTGAAAACATTTCAGTGAAAATCTTTTTGTATGGCAGCATAACATTTTTAATTTTGTGTTTAGAATCGTAATACAATTGTTGTTCTTTGAGTTATAAAAAAAACAAATTTATCAAGTTAACTCCATGGAAGATTTCTGGAAATTGTTTTTTTCACATTTTCTGGAGGAAATCAAATCAGAATAAAAAATATGGAATTCTTGAAAGTGATGCAATTTGTTATAGAAAAGTAATTTCAATTCTTATTTTTCTCAATCAATGATTGAGATTAGTCAAAGGAAACGATTCAAAAGGTTAGACAATAAAATATACTGCAACATTGCTGCAATTGTACAAATATGCGTGAATTCATTATTTTTCTAATCTCTTTATTCTATTAATCTAAGACATAGAATATCATTTGCATACTCTTAATCGGAAACGGAACATTTCATCGTAAAAAATGTAAGCAAGAGAAAATGAATTAAAGTATGAATCGATTGATGCAAATGAAACCAGAAGTCTTGATTTTCTCGCTCGATTTTCATTTTTGATCTTCCTTTTAGTTATTTGAGAATTATCCATATTATGTCATCATGTTATTCGGCCTAATCGATCATATTTGTTACAGAACACTGTTACTGTACTAATAGGCACTTTTTGTACAACAATTAAGTCAGTCTGAGCATCAGAAAAAATTTCTTCAGGAGTTTTATTTCTCACAGTAGTTTTCACGGCTGAATGAATATGTTTTTAGAAAGTTATTAAAATTGGTTTGCGCTATTGTTCGAATGCTGCACGCGGTTTATGAAATGCATTGACATTGGGATCGAAATTTCTCATTTAGAAATCATTCAACAGAAAGTTTCCATATAGAAAAATTTTCGATTTTTAAAAGTGTGAAATTTCAGAAAGAATGTTGCACGAAAAAAAATTTAGCAATCCGCTTCGATAACACTTTTAAAAGTGCAACTTGAAACCAATCATTGACTAATTCATTATATAATTTTAGCATTTGTCTATAAGAAATGTTGAAATGACGAAAAAACGTTTCTTTTTTTTCGTCAAGTTAAAAAGATCTCATTTTAAAACTATCCCACCGAGCTGCTTCACACAGCAATGTATTAAAACCGAAAATAAAATAGGCAAAACTGTTTTTTAATATCAGTTAGTAGTAAATGCTGATAACGATAGAAATCAGGAAAAGTTCCGGTGATTTTAATATCATTGTCAAACAATTGCGAAAAGCAGATAAAAATATTCTTTCTCCGATAATGGTTAATCTTTAAAAAAGTTCAAAGCTTCAAGTTTGGTCAAGTCAATTAAATGAAAGTTAACAAATGAAATTCAATAATTTACTCATTTGATTGCAAAAATTCTTTTAACTTTAATTGAATTTTTGGCATATCTAGTAAAGTCTTCATGCACTGTAACACAAAATTTGAAGCCGTTCAAACATCATCGTCAACTGCAACTTTTTCACACTACAACATAAAGGAAAAGCAAATCTTTTCTCCCTTGCCTTCAGTGAAGCAATGAATGAAAGTTTTTCCAACTTAGAATTTTTCGCGATAAGGCTGGAAACTTATTTGCTACTATAAATCTGTGTCAACTTGTTAAATAACTATGAAAGTAGCGCTTAAGTAAATGAAAGATACTAAATAGGGATAAAAAAAAGCAATGTATTTGTTTTCTGAAACACTACTTTTTTTCTGTAATGTAAAATGAATGACAGGTTAGAAAAATTATGTCAGGCTAGCGAGATTCCGAAATACCGGAAAATTTTTCTTGATTCAAATGAATCAATCAACCACAATAGTTTTATATGATAAATTAATAAGTTCGTCCATAAGCGTACATGCGAATATGAAAGAGTTAGATAAATACCTAATATCAGTACCACTCATAGTTCAATATCTGGATGGATAATTTAATTTTAATGGAAGCAAAAGTGTTTTCTTAATGATTTCTCTTTCAATCAATCCATTAAATCCAACATATATCAATCATATTTTTCTTGAGAATTTTATTCTTTATGTCAAAACAAATTTTATTTTAAACTCTCGAAAAATCTGCTTACTTATCTCAGAAATTTATATTCCATTCAGTCAGTTTTCTATCATAAACTACAATTTTTGTATTATTTGCAAATTTTAAGTCTGCGGAAGATTAAAAAAGTGTAGGAGAACAAAAAACGTCGAAGAATATTAAATGAATATTGATCCGCTATATGCAATTTTTTGCTTTTTTAATTATTTTGTTATGATCAAATTTATTGTAATTTTTAAAACTAATATTAGTGGTATGCAAATTTTTGCAGCATTATCAAATCAGTTATTACCATGAATTATTTTCTATTTTTCGCATAACTGTCCAATAATAATAACAATAATAATAATAACAATAATAATA